GCTAACACTACCGCCCAGCTTGGTCAACCATTCGTAAGCACCTTTAGTTGCACACACCATCGTCTTGCATGCACTGTTATACTTGCACAAACGCCCACTAAAGTCAGGTCACCCAGGGGCCTGAGGTATTGCGGCCCCTGACATGCCATGCCCATGAAACACTACACATTCACTCAGGAATTCATCTGTTCTTTACACATTCGCTGAAGGCTTCCTCAGCTCCCTACAGCTCAGTGAGCAGCAGAACCTGCCACACTGGCTTACTTGCTTCCTCCTAAGCCATGTGGAGTCAGCATTGCAAGTCTGTATACTTGGGGAGCCAGATTTCTTAGCTCACTGGGCCTTACAGTTTCTCCACAATGACAGGTACTGGGGCTGGCAGTCTTCCGTCCTCTTCCACGCTTTCCTACAAAGCCTACAGTCTTCATTCACCCTGTACTGCATCTGTCAGCTCTTCTGAAGTTTTTCTAAGCTATTATTTGACCTCTGTCTTCCTCTAAGAACACTCCTGTCTCACTAGAGCAAACCCACTAGCCTTTTATATGCCCTTCTTTCTATTCCACTCCAGCCTGTCCTGGTCATTTTCCCTAGGCTTGCCCAGCAGCTAACCCTTCTCAGACTCCTCCAGTTCCGTCCTACATAGACATATTTCAGGGCAAGTTACAATCTGCTTAGAACCTGTCTTCCCAGCTATAAAATGAAGCTATGAACTCCTCAGAATGGGATGGGGACACTGAAAAAGAAGTGAGTCAGGGCAGCCTACAAAGTGTGTGCTTGGCTTGGGAGGTGAGATGGCCCAGCAGATACAAGCTGTCTGTCACAAGCCTGACAACCTCTGAGCTTTATCCCCACATGGTGGACAGAGAACAGACTCCTGCAATTTATCTGGACTGCTGCATATGGGTGGTGACATACAAAGTAAATATCAGAAATGTTGAAAGTGTGTGCACTTTTAAATCTAAGCATTTCTCCCAGTCTCCCCTGCTGCACCCCACACACAGTAAGTATCGTGTTTGCAGAGTGCCAGGAGACATTCTGACGGGGTGGAAGTGTGATCTGGGCCCTTCTGTCTAGCAGTCTGCAGTCACACACAGTCCAGACTCTTGAGAAATTGTATGGATTGAGTGCCAAACTGTATGAGCTTTGGGGAATCCTGGAAGAAGAATGAAGTTTCTCCTCAGGCTCATCAGTTTGATGTACTACTAGAAGCCCACTCAAACATCTGGGTACATGCAAATGTGTTCTTTGCACTTACTTTGGTCCTCTTTGCCCATCGTAATATTGTCATGGGGTGGGGTGGGGGTGTTGGTGGCCAAAACTCAAGTTTCACTAGGATTTAATGCTGAGTTCGCTGTTGATTTTGGTTTTGGTTTTCTGTGGTGCTGGGGATGAAACCAGGGTGTCTTGCATGCTAGGCAAGCACTGTACCCTTGAGCCACAACCCCAGCCCTAGATTGATTCTAATAATCCTCGGGAAGGAGGAGAGCCTGAGTTTGCAGGCAAGACCATCCTAAAGGAGATTGAGGCTGGGAAGCAAAGGCTATTTGGTTGACTGGGAACACTGAAAGTTTGGAGAGAAGAATGGTGGAAAATGAGAAACAGTCCCTGAGGGTGAGCCTCGGTTTGGACTAAGATTTGTTGAATGAATCCGTGTGCATGGCCGTGACTTATTTATGCATGAAGAACATTTTCTGTGTGTTGTCCATCCTTCCAGGCCTCCAGTTCACCCGCTCACACGTCAAGCTGAACAGCATGGCGGGGCTGGGATGGGGGAACCATACACCTTAAACTAGGAACCAGGAGCTACGCAGAAGAAGCCTGGTGCCTTTACTGTAGTCGCCGTCTGCGCACACGCACCCTAGGCCAAAGGCAGGAGGGCATGGTAAACATGTTTTGCAAGAAGTGCAGGTTAGAGAGCAGAGTACAGGACTCGGGACCCGAGGTTTACGCGTCCCTGCAATAGGTAAATGGGAGGGGTCTTAGGACCAGGACAGACAGGCAGGCTCAGCCAGTTTTAGGGCGCACG